TGTTTTTGAATTTTTTTTTTGAAAGAATAATCTACGGGAAAAATCTTTGCCGAATAGATGGAAAGGTGAAAAACCGGTTATCTAGAAGCTTGTATTAAGAAATTTTTGAACTTTTTTGTTTTTTTCTAAAATTTCAACTAACCTTTAGATCATTGCTAATGGATTTTATTTTTTACGATCGAAAAACGCGGCAAACGGCCGGGGAGAGAACATAAATTATTATAGTGACTTTGAATTTCGCAGTGATGATGTATCGCTAACAGATGAGCAACAAAGTAAATATATCCCAATAAAAGAGGCAAATAAAGAAACAGAAAAAGGTTATTTAAAATTTTATTTTCTCTTTTCTGCTTTATAAACTATTTAAACTCAACATTGCCTGCAATGACTTTATTAAGTGTATGCAAATGTAATATGATTGTAAAGTAATTAAAAATTTCATCCGAATCCGTTGTTGTTGCTGTTGCTGATGTTTCACTTTGGAACATTCGAGTCAGTTTACTTGCGATTTAATGATGAGCTATACATTAATTGTAATTCTTTCAATTAAAGGCTTCATTGAAATGACAAATTTTATATATCAAATGAATATTGAAATTTCTTTTTTAAACACTTAGTTAACGTTACCTAAATGCTTAAGCGAATTGATTGATGCCTTCCTTATGTTATTCGAAAAGGATATGAAACTATTCGTAAATAGCTTTAATAATAATTTTAAATGGTCAAGTAAAGTTTTCGCCAGATAACTATTGAAGAGCAATGTGAGTTCAATTGACATAAGCAAGGCAGACTTTCAAACGGATGGGGTATACAAATGTCTTTGTATAAATAAGTTACAATGCTGCATGAATATTAATGAAACGGCTTTAATATCGCATAAAATAGTAATAACGTTAAGGGTCACGTCTTTTGGGTTGATTTTCATCTATTGAACCTGACTTTTTTCCTACAAAGAACTTATTTCTCTACAAAGAAATTTTACAGTAACTCATTTCACTCTAATGATTAAATGAAAACCTTTGGGCGAAGAAGTGTTGACAGAACGACGTGAGAACCGTTCATATAAAAACTTTTAATATTAAATGCGGAATGTATCCGGAATTCGTTGTTGTGTTTTTCCTTTTTTTTTTTTTTTTTTTTTTTTTGCTTTTTCATTTGTTTTCTATATTCATCATTTATTTCGCATATACATAATTAATGAGAATCTGCGGTAGAAATTTTCGTTGATATTTCTTTATTTAAAAGTTGATTATCAACCGTAAATGATTGTTTTCCTTGCGAATTTAATTTATATGATTTTACTGGAGTAGCCAATGTAAAACGGAATTAACGAAATCAAACGAATTCAATAAACAAAAATGATATAACAGATAAATAAATAATAAAAATATGAAACATATATATAAAGCAAGTTCGAATGAATGAAATCAATAAAAAATTATTTGATCATATTTCGCATCGTCAACATGCAAATGAAATGAATTTTGCGTGCACTTTTCAATGCTTAATTTCATTTGGTGGGTTATTTTCATTTCATTTTTTTTTCCTTTTTTTCTTTGCCAGTTAAAAATTGATTACATTGCTGAATGCGTGTGCATAGTATGCATAGTTATGTAGTGGGTACATAGAACTTCGCCTCAATTTACAGCCTTTTCATTGCATTTTTTAAAACATAGGTTTATACGGATATGCACGCGACTTCATATTGCGCCTAAATAACTAATTAATAATTGAATGCCGAATGTATGTATGTTTCTATATATCTATTGAAATTACATTGTATATTCTTTAATCAGTTTGTTTGAAGAATTTTTAAAAATATATTTCAGTCTACTAATCAAGTTCCTACTAAACATTTTTGGAAAATTTTGGAAAATTTGGGAATTTTGAAAACATAATAGAAAACCTCGCAGAACCGGGCACAACCACTTTTTTATAAACACAAAAAATGTATATAGATGTATATATATATATATATTAGCAGTGATCTTTAAGTCCTCTTTGGCACTTTTGTGAACTTAGCTAGAGCCGGGAAAAGTGAATGATTGTTTCAAATTTCGAAAACTTGGCTCTCGATTATCGTTTCTAAAACTACGAAGAATCTTCTTACTGTCATTTACTTTTTTTCTCTGCCCCACCAATGTTAGATACGTGATCAGATCTACGTTTCCCATTATGTGCTCAATTACATTGAAACTTTTCAAATTTTTGGCACGCTTTCGGTTTCGAAACTATTTTCATTTTTAAAAGGAAATTCTGGGAAATTTGTAAGAGCTCCTCAGTTTGCTTGGTTAGATCATAAGAATCTTTGAATTAAAATACCGCTTAGAGCCGATAGCCTGTGTTGCTAGTGCTCAATGTCTTTTTTTAGTCTAAGAATTCATTTCATTAGTCTAAAATTAAAATTATAATAATAATAATAATAAAATACCGCTTAGTTTACTCAAGCAAACTCCCCTTCTTACATTCCACAATTACTTTCACTAATAACAATCAATCTTTTCATTTTGTCTTGGTCCGTTTTTTTTTTTGCTGATTTATCAAAATTTAAAAAGTCAAAAAACTGTGTGTACATGTATATTTATGTATATATATATATAGGAACAAAACTCTTCAAAATACTTTTTTCTTAATTCCCGTTTATGGTATAAATTATGAGTGTAAAGAAACAGAAAATTACTTCTAGAACATTTTAGCAGACAGTTCTTTAATGAAATATTCTACTGTATACACTATGCAGCAACAACTTTCCAAGGTAATTACTATGTCTCACGGCATTGAAAACCTTTCACCAAAGTTGTGTAACAATGGAAACATTTTTTATAGTATTCTTTTGTTCCAACCTTTATGAAGCTATTGGTAAAGGAAATTAATAAAAAAACAAGTACGGAAACAATGTATATTTGGTTACGGCCGAATCTTGTATACCTTGTATACCTCGTATTCGAAAAGGCGGAGGTTTTTTGCCTTTTTTGTGCGTTATATGTAGAAAAATTTGACGTGTGTCTATGGTAGCCCATAGTAGTAAACACTACACATATTCTTAGTTTATGTACCACTGCACGCATGCCCTTTGCCTGATCTGGTCCATGATCATTGTTCAAAAATCTCAAATTTGAAAGCGATATCTCCGCTTGTTAATATCGGGAGAATATATATGATGGATATTACCTTCATTGGGAGACAGTTACACGGACGTGGGTCAGAATTTCACATTGATCAAGAATATATATAATTTATAGTGTCCCTGAATATATAGAATTTGTAGTATATCTTCTGGGTGCCTGTAAATGTTTTGATGTAATTAATATATTTTGCGGCGGTAGATACAAATGTTTTTTCATGTACTTGAATAAAATTGTTTACGCAAAGTTTTTGCGGAAACAATGTATTTTAGCGTACCGTGTAGTTCCATCCTTTCTTCCTAACCATTTCAGTAGAAATTTTATATTTTCCAAAAATTTGTTGTAACGCACACGCAAGTATATGTAATGGCAAAAATGTTCCACATCTGTTTTCCGATAGCTTTGTCTCCTCCTCTGCTGAAATAATGCCTACAGTGTAATTATGTTGCGGAGAAAAACAACTTTATTGTAAATTTGTTTTATCATTTTCGTAAAATTTTGCTGATTCAAAAGTCACTCATACATTAAATAATATATGATTGGCATCTACCTCTTATCTTGCAAATTTTATATCTATATGTAGTGAGATAAGTGCTAAGGCGTTCGCTTCAAACTGACTGCAATTTTTCTTTGCTGGTTTTTTCTTTTTTAAGGGAAGCATAAGAAACACAAAAGATACCTACTATTTAATGCTTCACAACATAATAAGAGTAACATTATTTTATTATGTTACTAATAATGTTCCTTCCGTGAGTTGTAATATGAGAAAATCGACAAAAATCGTCATTTCTCGTAAATAATTTATTTCGCGCTTTTCTTATCCACATTACGGTCGCTGTTCTATTTCCAAGCGAGACAATGTTCTTTACTACAGGGGGGAAGAAAATGCGCTTTGACTGAATAAGTTCGTATCTAAATGTTAAATAATTTATTTACAATTCGAGCTTAAGTACATTGTTATGTATAATTTTTATCATTTATTCATTTATTTATTTACTTATTTTGTTTGAAGGCAACTTGTTAGCCAATGAAATCTCATCTCATTCATCATTATTATATCTGTGGAATCATTACTATTCTAACATACTGTGGAAGGCTCGGTATTCTTATTTCGTTACTTTTCGGTTCATTGATTGTCATTAGCATACATTTGAAATGTTACGCTAGCCATGCAAATAGGAATGAAAACGAAAATTGCGGCAAATGTCATACAAGATGAATTTTAATACGTTTACAGTGAAAATAAAAAGTGAAGATACAAAACTAAAAAATCTTGCACTTACTCACATCGAATCACTAAAGACATTCATAATGAAAATGCGTGGGGAACATTTCGGGAGGCTTTTTATAAATTATATATATAACGAACGAGTGAACAGATGATATATAAAATGTTTCTATTCCCTGACATATCGGCATTTTCTTAATGCTTATTACAGTGGCATAAGGTTTATATTCCTGATCGTTGCGACGTTGTGAATTAATATTATCCTTACATTTAAAAAAAAAGAAAAAAAAAAAAAAAACACTTCCCTTTAAAAAGCGATAATTACGTTCCCTGATGAATTTATTAATTACTTAGAAAGTGTTAAGCGATATTGTTACGCTTGGCAAGAATCATTAACTTTTTGTTTCCTGACATGGAAACTTTATTGTTGCGGATATGGCATTTATTCATTATTCTTGGCAAGCAGATTAATTTTGCTTTTATATACACCTTCTTCCTTTCGTGTCAGTCACTCATTCACTCATTCATTCATTCATTCATTCATTCAGTCATTTAAGAAAATCTTCTGTACATTTTATGTCGCTATTTATTTCCTTTTATATAATGTAACAATTTACGTAAGTAATGATATTACTTCTGATTCACAGATAAATATGTGAAGCGACCACCGCGTAAAGCATATGGTCGCCTTAATGCTGAATCAGATGATGCAACGCCAATAGAGCAGCATATTAATAATCAATTTGACGATGGCATTGATAATTTTGAAATGATTACACCTGCCGGCTCAAGTAATAATGGTAATAATAACGATGCAATACGATTACCAGCTCAAATGGCCAATACTAATGGTAAACAAACTAACGATGACCGTGAAGGAGGTGATGAGAGCATGCAATGCGGAATATGCGGTACACCTGCTGTTGTCAATTGCAATGGTAGTGACTGTCAAGGGAATTATGTTGACGGTGATTTTTGCGACTATGGTGTAAGCAATTTGTGCGGTGATGCGAATGCTTTAAACAAAAATTCATCTTCTTCTCAAAGCCGTAGTAAACAAATAAATCAAAGTACCATAAATCGATTACAGGCAATAGCTATGTCAGAGGATGATGATTACGGTAACTATGCAGCTGCATATATATCGAAATGTTATCTAAGCATTATCTCATTTCAGACGAATCTTTAACGTGCAATGTATGCGACCGGGCTTTTCATTGTCATCGTCAATTGGCCTCACATCAGCAAAAAAAACGTCACTTTGGGTGGGTATTAGAAAATAATAGCAAATGAAATGTTATATAAGTTTTTGCTTAACTTTTAGGCCCAGGCATTTTTTTAATTGCAGTTATGGTAGTTGCATCAAATTTTATATCGCTTTTTTTTCTTTTCTTTAATATAATCAATCACTACGTGAGATGTCTCCTAGAAGTATAGCATTGTGCTGGTCAGAAAGGAAGGATAGGGAAAGAGAAAGAGGTAGGGGTTGGCTTCAGCTTAATGGGCGAGTGCACAATTGGTAAATTGTTATGCCTTAGCACTCACTATAGCTCAAATTCGCGAGCAGTAACTTGGTAGCCGCGACTCTTCTCTACGTAATGCCCTAAACGACTATCTTGAAGTTATTGCAAAGAAAATATGAACATTTTCATTTTAAAGTTTTATTTACCGCTAATAGCGAACCTATATAAGTATTTCTTACATTTTCATAAGTAATTAATGGAGATTAGATAAAACTACGGGCGTTAAATTTTAGTTTCTTCCTTCAGGTATGTGAAAGTGAAAGCTTTCAGCGACGGACGAACGGACATGTTTAAATCAACTGAGACGCTTATAGCGAACAATATGTGTAATCTCTATATAGCATTTTCACAATGCATTTTTTTACTGTTTTAGAGAACAAATCACCATACACCGTCATTGCTAATGGAAGTTAATTTTTTTTTTTAAGTATTCAAATAGTTATGTGATATGTAAATTTTTCCGCTGCCGCTACTTATTTTTGTATTTTTTTTTCTTTTTTTTTCAGATGCAATGGATGTGATAGTTTATTTCCCTCACTAATGCTTTTGGAACATCATAAAGAAGAATTTGAACATTGGAGTGACGAGGAGATTAATCGACGAGTTTGTTGTCGTCGCAATCGAAGTGATGATTACTTTACTGATACAGATTCCTTCACCAGTGAGGCGGAGAGTGAAGATCTCGAAAGACTATTGTAAAAGAGCGAACAAATTTACGCAAAAAAGTATTTAATCTCATGCATTTCCATTTGCCCTGAATTTTGAAATTATTGTTAAGCATCAATCACATGCATACGCGCATATCGATTTTTTACCTAAAATAATTAATGGTAAACTTTAAAGAGGAAACGCAATTGATAACTTTAACACTTTTATATGTATGACGACGGTGTGTATAAATGTATTCTAGCAATCTTGTCTTTCCATCCGAAATCTAGTGACTGTGCGAAAGAGAAACAAAATGTAATCATATCAACTGCGAGCATTCAACAACTTAATATTAATCTATGTTGTGTACATCTAAGTAAATTTAAATAAAAACATCTCTTTATGTGCATACGAATAGTATTAGTGTTAGCAATATGAATAATTGTGTATTGTGTATTCACATATACAAACAATTGAAAATTTCATATCCACAAACTATATAAAAATATGCAATTTATGTAATATCGATGTATGTATGTATGTATGTATGTTTGTTTGTTTGTTTGTTTGTTTGTTCTATGTAGATTCTATATTTCTATGTTTAAGAATTTTGTTCTCACATACTCATACACAATTATATATGTTTATTAGCAATTGTATAACTAAAATAACTGCATAGTGAAAGAGAAAAAACACCTAACACAAAATACAAACACAAAGAAGAGAAAGTAAAAATAGAAATATTAAAAAAAAAAAAAAAAAAAAAATTCTACCGTGTTACTTATATAATAAATAATTCAATAAAAAGGTAAGTTACGCATATTAACATAGACGATGTATACTTCCAGATAAACTAAAGATTATTGAGCCATGAGGACATAACAATAACTTATCTGCCTTGCTAAACTCAAGTCTACATGATTTACCAGCACTTAGGACTAATTGAAATTCTCTATTATTGAGGGAAACTTAATACGTTAGCTCTTTGTAAGCCTTTGTTATCTAATTCAGGTTAATTCTAATGTATATTAGTTCATTAATACACAAGACTTATTGTTATGTTTTAAATGTGCCTCCACCTACCAGCTGTTAGTTGGTTGGAGTTCGCTTCACATTATTTGCTCCAAGCTAACAGATCTTAGCATATTTTTAGAGCCGTAAATTAAATTCGCTTCAAAATTATCTTAGATTTTTATATCGATGTCATATTTGAAAGGCCTGTAAATTATTCAGACGGAAGAAGTATAAAGTCTTTACCAAAACATTATAAATAGGGCCTTCTTCCTTATATTGCTGGAATGCATTGTATTCCTTCTCTTCTGTTCTAATTAACTGCATGCAAGTGTTATACGGTTGACAACGCTGATCTATACGGCTGGTTTTGTTGCTTTTATATATACATATATACATATATATGTATACGTATACAATAAAATATTAGGTAACAGAATCTGAAAAAGGTCTTCCGGATTTCCAAGAACAACACTTGGCACTGGCACAGCTAAGGAGGGGATCACGCGGGAAAACAGCGAAGAAAAGCTACAAAATGATATTGGGTGGTCGTTAACTGAAATTGCGCAAGCTAACGGGCAACGCTATATATACAACATATTGGCTGCAAATGTAAAGAAAAAACAAAGGCCTGCGAATAGCATTGTTTTGGGGATTTTTTTCCAATGGGATATAGAAATGGCATCGTAGGAGTATTTCACCCGATTGATCATAATCTGCAGCGTCTTCGCATAGCGAGAGAACACACTTATACCAGCATAGACTTGTATCTACCGATAAACGTGCATATAAAAATTGATTTCAACTTTACCGCAACATAGGGGAGAAATGCTTCTAAAAGCTCTTTAAATCGCATTTACTTAAGCTAAATCAATATCTAATGAATATACATAAATAATACGTATTTTTTTTAATGAAAATTTGGCGACAGATCGCTCAGAATCTATGCTTACAGTAGCCATAGTAACATTGGTATATACTTTTGTTCACCTTTCCAGTATATCTCTGACAGTCTTTGGATTATATTTCTATCAATTAATCAATCGCACAATTCACGCTACTTTTAAAAAAAAAGATAGACGTGGGCGAGAATGACTCAAGGAATGACTTAAAGAAAAAGTTTATTAGATGAGCAAAACATTTATGTGAAAAATTATTTACTACATCTGCTAAGAGAGATTAGTGAGAAGCAAGCGCGTTAAAGTGTTTGGAATTTTATCAATAATAGCTTGATTTTGCCTTTAATTGAGTAATTTTTGCATTAATTCATTGATAAAAATTTTGCGTTGTCTTTCTTTCACTTAGTGAAACGACTGCAACTCATTGATCGGTTCTTTTATCTACCGAGCACGAAGAACCATTTTTTAAAAGTACATTTATTAGAACTTTAAGCAATAAACATGAGAGGCAATTTCGTCGCTAGACAATTCATTACTCAACTATTATTCATCGACAAGAATTAATGTTAGCGAAATCGGAGGGCAAAGCAAGGTAGCTATATATTACTGAATACGTATTTTTGGTTTACAATTACGTGCAATATAATATTTCCACAAACGTTCGTAAACAATACAACACACACATCTACAACTTTAATTTAAAAGAAGTGCGGAGTTTCTTCTTATGCTGTTTGCAGAATAGAAAGAACAATTACTCTGAGGACTTTTGGGTACACCCAAATGCAGATCGCTTTGCTACTCTGGCATTCTCAGATTATTCGCTTGAAAATGGTACAAAGGTTGAAGAACGTTTTATCGGCACTCACATCCAACCCAACTTTACAACAAAGTTGACACTCATTATTGAGGAAAAATTTAATCAGTTATGGAGTTATGTGTATACTGCATGCAAGGAGAAAGAATTTTGGCATTATTTTGTTCTAACTTATGATCAAATGAAAGAAAGCTTTTGTCAATGAATGAAAAAAAAGAAATATTAATAACATAATAAAATATTTACAACTATAATGCAATAGTTGGTATAATAATTATCGAAGACTTGCCCTAAGATGAATTAAACTATTTTGCAACAGTTGAGCAACAACGATTTCACATAATCACATGAATCATGTATGGAGAATGAATTATAAAAATCGTTAAATTCTTCAAATACCAATTGGTTAATACATTCACAAGCTAAGATTTCACACACTTGTAATTGTGTAAGGAACTTGTGATGAATGTTTAGTAAATTTATTTTTGACCAATTCAAAGTTATAAGCTAAAGGTAGGCAAAGCGTAGATATATGTTATGGCACATTATATATTTATATCTTTAATTATTGCTTTGCTTTTTAAATAAAACTGAAAAGTTGAAAATTTTTTTAAAAAGTTCAGTATATTAGAGATGGATATAATAATGAAGCTAATCTGAAAGAAAGATGGAAGGAGTCAGATCTTAAATTATGAAAGAATGGACAAGCATTCATTAGATGGAGAAGAGAATCACCACTTACAGCGCAGAAGAAGCATGCAGGAGAAATACTTTTGTCAACATAATCTTGACGAGTAATTCTGGTGTGAAAGAAATGTCAATGCTGTTAAACATCATTAAATTTTATTACGTAATCGCTAATTCTATAATAAGTGTTCACTTTTTATATATATGTGTATAACGTATTTAATGAAATATTTTACATCAGAACAATTAAAATTATTGGTGAAGAAGGTAACGAAGGTAAAAGACTACAACTAATTTGTCGTTAGTCATTGCCGGAAATATCAACATGGCTAGGGTATTCAAATTTTTTAAAGATACTACGTTTCTCACACAAAAAGGGTAAGAGTCATTATTACTGACTTTCTTCTTGCAGTCCTTATAGCAGGAAGTAAGTGTGTACATACTATAAATTGGTTCGTGGCATTATAAATAACATTGGGTAACACGATGTGCGAAGCAGAAAATGTAGAGAAATAAAGCGGAAGTAGAGACAGAAGTATAGGACTATTGAAAAGGTCTGCCTACACTGAAGCAGAGACAGAGGTAAAGGACTATTGACAAAGCTTACACCGAAGCCAAGCTTATAATCCTTTTAAGAGCCGTCAGTGAAAATACTTAAATTCTTTTTCATTAAATTCGATTGCGAGAGTTAGAGTTCTGTAATGGTTTCGTTAATAGTCATCTAAATAATGGGAAGGAAACTTTAGAGATAAAGTAAACTTTTCTTCTATTATTGGCTTAGTACAAATATTTAGGGTAAAGACCATGAAGAATGCCTGGGATTTTTGGACTATATCGATTTTTGAGTAATTTAATAATTTAGTAAAACAAAAGCATGTAAAACCAATAAAAGTGATTCGTTGAAGATTCTCGCATATGGTCGAGGAAGCGTATTATTGGCTTTTCGGATGTAATGCCTACTTTTGCAAATGCAGAAAAACAAATTTATAATAAAAAAGCACATTCCTGTCACAGAGGTGCTAAAAGCCATCAAACCAGCTGTAACGTGCAGGCAATATGTATTCGAGGTAAATTGAAATTACTCCTTGATTTCTGAAGACTAATCTTTTCGTAAAAATTGTATTTGAATTTGTATTTCGATGTATTACATGCAAAAGCCCGATAAACGTAGCTTAAGAACGATCACCGGCTGTCCATACATCAATAATTTAATAAGTAATATTGTCACAGTTCATAGTTCAGACAATCAACGGCCTATGCCGTTAACTTCTTACAAATGTCGCGTAAGAAATAACTTTTTAAGAAAATATATTAAATATGAAAAAAACAACAACAAAAATAATAAATTTAAACTGTTTATGAAAGCTGAAGGGGTAAGCCAGGCTAATGCAAATAATTATTGAACAATTCTCGTATCTTTGTCTACAGCTCCATTGTGTTTGGTGTTGATTTAAAAAAGATTTATCTTAACATTTCATAAAATGTCCAGATGAAAGCTCCCCTACTGTATGACTTTGTTTAGGGTCTGCGAATTTTTGGTTTAAATACGCAATAAATATTATATGGTTTAAGTCTAAAATGATTTGAATATGAAGCTAACAAACTAAGTGAAGCTTTTCAATCACATGTCGATTAATGTTTAAAACTAATCTGACCGTAAGATATAGAAATGTTAAAAAAACTTTGTAAAGCTGTTTACATTGCTCTGTGTGCATATACATATATGTATATATATATATGTATATATATACATAATTTCCTTCATACTAGTATCATTACATTTACAGCTCCATTCCAGCATTGTCATCGTTAAAACGGTCGTAAAATTAGTTCTTGTGTCTGCTTGTCATCGTTCCTGTTGCTTGATATTAGATTTCATATTCTAAAGCAAAACGGGACAATTAAACTCTTTCAACGTCGATATTGCATGAAAATATTGCACTTATTTTTTCTTCCATTTTCTATACATTTTTCTTCGATAGTTTACTTCAATTTTTAAAAGTTTCCCTTCTATTATCATGATAAGAATGCTTAGTGACCTGCTGAAAAGTAGAGTACATATATGTCATTTATTTGCAGACTCCACGTTTATGCTTAAATGTCAGAGAACACAAAAAGATAACAAAATCGATTTTATCTTTGTTTGGCAGCAATATATAGTTAGTGATCTACCAGTGATTCTAATCAGAATAAGGGAGTTAGAGGCATATTCTGACGTTGCATCTAGTTACTGGTTATAAGGAAAGACAATTTATTTGCTTGTTGTAGTTTTCTTGACTGTGTAATAAAATACTCAGAGATTACTCTCATGTCATAAAACAAGATTGCAAAGTTAGGAAAACAACAAACCCAAAGAGACTTATGACTTTTAACGTTTGTGGGATACTGGTCGGAAGATGGCTAGTAGCATGCTAGCAATTATAGGATGGTCATGAAGGTTCTGAAACAATTGCGCTTACGGATAGGATAATACGCCATTTAAGCCAGTTCACGCATCGGCTCGTCTTAGAATATTGGAAAACTGAAATTAGATTTTAATACTTTATGTAAAAAGTTATCGAAATACTGTGATAAATGCATCCATGTAGAAACGCAGAAATTCCCTTCGCTTCAGCAAATACGACATTTTTTCCGTTACCAATATTCCCGTTCAAAAATATTTTAAGCCGCAAAACCTACTTATTGTCTATGTAGCGAATACAGCTTCTGTTTTTTTTCAGCGCGAGCATTTTATTACTCGTTTGTTTCGAAATGTTTACATTAGAGCGAATTAATTTAAACATTTTTGCAGCGTCATCTACTAAAGAACACTCAAATTTGACAAACGTATATTCGAGAGTTGCTGACTTTGATAATACAAAAATTATTTTACATATTTAATAATTATTACGGCATTTGTAAGTAAGTAAGTAATGGAAGAGTAGTTAAATTCGACTTGAAGCGAATTTTACCACACCCATAAGTTGTTTGTTTGGTTGGTTTTGTTTGTCTGTGAAAAAATTTATTATGTAAGGATGCATTTGCATAGCACTCTTAATTATTGGCAAATTTTTTTCTATCTTCAATTAAGCGATCACGGTAATGTAATGCACGCTTTTTCTTCTTCTAGCTTTTGAAATTCCCGATGAATATTACTGCGTTACATATGCCTCCTTGAACAAGGTACACGTACTATTTAGATTATTAAATTAGATTAGTTTTATCAAATCGGTCTTCACTTAAGCTTAAGAGTTCAAATATCAGTTAAATCGATCCCCGAGTTTTGCAAAGATTTCCTCATTTTTTTCCAGTTTGAATGATGAATTTGGTGTTGAAATGTTGTCATGTTGGCGCCATGACATTTTTCATTAGAAGTATCACTGATGCGTGTGCGTTATACAGCAGTGAAGAGTGTTATGTATTATATATATGACCAATTACTTGAGCCTCGCGGCAAATAGAACTGAGATGTCTGCGAATCATAATGTTGCAGCCAAGCAAAAAGACACAATGCTTACAAGGCGATATGGGTCCGATCAAGTTCTCAGTTGTAATAAGAAAAGAAATATGAGAATTTTGACAAAGAAAAATGAATAAAGAATTTTAGAACAATTAGAGTCACTTTAGGCTTTTGCAGCATGCTTAACAAAGTATAAACTTATTTAACATTGCCTTCATGGTATTGTTTAATAACTGCTTCTGACTGAAACACTTTTCGTCTCTTTCCGAATTGGGCACATACCACCGCCATGTTCTGGATATTGAATAAAAGACTTGACCTAAGACTTGACTGATTTCCCGTCTTCGTCAAATTTAAAGTTTCCTTGCAATACAATGGACTGTGGTTTTTTTTTGGAAATATTTAATTTCTATAAAACAAAAAAAAACTGCCATAAACAAAGTAAATGAAATATACGCTCAACCCATCGTTGCAGAAAGGGAGTGTAGTTATTATAATACTTAAAAGGAAGCTTCAGAGATCCTATAAAGTAGATATGCCTTTAAATAGAATCGATGTGACTGTGTCTATCCTTCTGGGTGATGTGTGAATGAATATATCGACTTGGATTTTAGTAGAAATATTAGAAATTCTTGTCGTTAGAAATGAGTCAAATTTGGGTTAAAGGACAGACTTGTTACTTGTTCAAAAAAATTGTTCTAAGCTTTTTCAAATTGTGTTTCATTTCTCCTATAAATTGTGTTTCACCTCTCCAGGGCTATTTTTCCAACTCCTCTAAGCTCATAGGTAGAACGTAGACCTTGCCTTGTTTTTTGTTTTCTTAATTCAAACAACTTTGAAGACTGCGATGCAAGTGAAAAGTGAGAAGAGAAAAGTTACCAGGAATGATGTATGATGAGACATCATATTTCCCACACCTCAACCGAACCCTATCAAGGCGTCATATTGACTGAGAAAATATTTACTATCTGATATATTTAAAATGCTTTTCCACGTATTATGGCATATTAATATTACAAACACAAGACAAGAACAGCGTTAGTAAATCTAATCTTATAAATAATAGAGTGTTTATATCGCTCGTTTGTCTCTGCATTACATTACATTAAGTGAGTTTTACATTAATTGATTGATAAAATTTGTAATCTTTCTCATTAAAATAATTCTCATTAGTTCTTTATTGCTATTGATCGTTTTCATTAACTCAACTGCTCTCAACCGTCGTAGGTGAAGAGAACTAGAAGCTAAGTGTGAGCAATAGCTTTAGTGTGAATCAAATCGCATTTCAGTTAGTGATCGAAACGCTGTTAGCTCGAATGTGAAATCGGAAAAAAATCAAGATAAGATTCATTAGAGAAAAAATGTATCGATCGACGTATTTATTAATGTTGGAAATTTATTTCCTTGCGATTGGATTCAATGCTGTGTACGCGCAAAAGTTTAAAGATATCCATTATCTTCAAGACATGCCGAACACATCTATAGATAGTTTAATCCAAGAAAAGCCTACATTGTATTGTGATACAAAAACAAATCTTTACAATGTCATAACGAAATTAAATGAAAAACATGCAATTTTTGTAACATGGCATCGTACCAAAGCAAATAATTGGGATATTTTAGAGCAATTTTGTTCAGTTGATAATGGACTTCAAGCGAAACGACGTTGCGTTTACAATCATTTAACGCAATCAACGAATTGGGAGCCATTTTTAGAGAAAGAGTTAATCAGTTGCGAGTTGAGCATGTATTGCAAGGAAGAAGAATTTCGGCATTATTTTGTTCAAACCGATGGCCAATTAATAGATTTTGTCAACAAATGGAAGCCAGGTGTGGTGGGTGAAAAGTCTGGACTATTAAAAGTTTGCCTAAAACCGAATGGTGTCCCTTTGACTCGTAAATGTTTGTATGATAAAGAAAAGCAATTAGCTCATTGGGAATCACTGAGTAATCTTGATGGCTATAAATGTTTGAGTGAAACGAATCAAAAAATTATAAGTAAAAAATTAAATGATTTGCACAATGATATACAAACCAACGGTCTTTTGCATAAAAGTATCGACGAAAGAAAAGCTGTGGCTAACCAAATTCTAAATTTATTGGATCAACCCGATAGTCAACGATTGCCGGCTGATGTTTTTACGACAAGTGAAATTCTTAAGCTTATGACAACTGAAACACGCAACATGCAATTATCGACTGATGTCGTGAAAATTGTAAACAATATGATGACTAGTGATGCGAAAATTTTACGAATATCGGCCGATTTAAATGCCACCAACGCGATTTTGGCAACCTTTGAAAACTATATGGATGCGTTAAGCGATAATTTTGTACAGCAAAACGAATGTGAAAAATTCAACTCCTCCAAAATTCCCGCCAATAACACATCAGCCGATATTAAAATCGTTAATTTAGCGCACCTTGGCGTTTTTATTTATTTCACATTTAATATTAGTACGTTTTTCATAAATCCATTATGCGCAAACATTTCTGGCATTGCATTATATCCAATCGAAGCGAGAATAACAAATTCAATTACTTACACGATAGCCGCTAAAAATGACTCACATCGTGGCATTCGTTATCGTTTTGTTTACATGAATGAATCAATCGTTGAACTCTTGAAAGATACCCAGTTGAATTTGGCTACTTTCATACCTTTGAAGACAATGCAACCTATTCAAGACGAGTTAAGATTGACAGGGAAAAAGGCGTCTATTGTGTTGAAGATATATTCCAATGATGCTCTCTTCGTTGAAACGGACACCACGAGATTGCGTAAACCATCCGGTGAAGTTCTTTCAATCTCGTTACCCTCATATGAAGGTCAATTATACATATATACATCTTCATCGATCAAAGTGAATGGAAGATTAATTTTTTTCCTTTATTCATTTTAGGTCAACTTATGCAAGAGTTACCCTTTATTCTGAGAATCAATTACTTGGATATGAGTACGGCGAAGAATTCAAATCCTAATTGCGGTTGCGGTTATTGGAATTATAAAACGTGGATAAGTAATGGTGTGCATACTAATAATACTTCAAACTTTCTAAATGAATCCGAATTAGTTTTATGCTATACGAATCATCTCACGCAATTTACTTATTTAATTGGTGGTACGTTTAGGCAAAGTGATTACAATAATGACGTATTAGTTACTGTTATGCAGCAACGTGCATTGGATGTTGTCTCGTTAGTAGGCTGCATTTTGTCTTTCTTAGGTCTAATAGGTGTTTGGATAACTGCTCTAGTTATACCAAATTGGATTTCGCAGGCATCGAATAAAATATTACTCAATCTTTGTTCAATTTTAACCCTACAAATGGTACTTTTTCTATTTGTCAACACAGACGATATGTTTGAGGCCTTAATAAGAGGAGAAGACATAATTAAATGCATTATTTTGGGTGCACTTTTACAGTACACCGTCTTAGTATTATTTTTATGGATGCTAATTATAGCCGTTCTACAATTTCAACGGTATGTTATAGTTATCGGAGTAACACGTCCAAAGAACTATATAGCAAAATCAGCTATTATTGCTTGGTTTACTCCACTAATATCGACACTTTTGGTCGTATTCTTAGATCCACACTCGTACATACCATCACCATTCGAATTGGCAATTCATGCCGGGGCTTGTCATCCTTCTGGCTCTGGCCTACACTATGGCGTACTTTTACCAATTTCCCTAATTATTTTGATCAATTTAACAATATTTATTTATGTCTTATATAGTATAAGTCGGACACTTAACTTGACCTCACAAGCCAATGAAAGAGGTTTAGTGATCAAACAAATACGTTTATCAATATTATTATTTTTCTTATTAGGACTGTCATGGATATTTGGGGTACTGTCGTTTATGCAGGCGGGCATTGTATTTTCCTTTTTATTCTGTCTGACGGCAAGCCTGCAGGGTTTCATTCTATTCATATATTTTGTGATATTAGAAAAGAATACCCGCATTGCTTGGCTGAATTTATTATGTCCAGCCAGGAGGCGGGAATTGAATAAAAAAGAACTTCAACGAATGACCACTATCTCAATATCAAATGCGCTCGGTATTAGTACCGATAACATAGCGAGTCGAGACTGAAATTTTTTTTTTTTTTATTATTATTACTTATTATTTTTACTTATATGAATAGTATTTGTGTAATTTTAATAAAATTAACATAAAAAAAATCGTCATATGTTGTGTGCCATATAAAGATCTCGATGGAAATCAGACAACCTCCCATACGTGAGTTCGTATCTCATGTCTACCATGAGCCTAAATTGCTTGTGAGTCTTCTGAATATTTGAAATGAAGTCAGAAAATTATATTCAGTCGTGATCGCGTCTTTTATAATCACCACCGTCGCTCTAAAAAAAGGAAGAGAACTAAATTGTCTTACTCTATAAGGTATCGGGCGCCCGATTTTTTCAACGGACACCGCCGACGGACAAATAAATTGATGAACGGACGGACATGCTTAAGTGCATTCTGAATGTGAAAGTGGCCAAGAATTTACGTACTTTATGGAGTTGTTGAAGCCTGTTTCTTCGCCTAATAAAAGTATTTTAGTAATATTAAATTTTAATACTCTATAATATTGGGTAGGCGTGGTCAATTTTTTCCATTTTTGTACAGGTATAGCGAGTATGCCTTCAAAATTTTTGTATATTTTTCTGCTACAGTTTACAAGTAATGAGCCAATTTTTTATACCTTCTGAAAACCAGATAATTAGGGTTTACATGGTGCTGTGGGCATGTCCTTCGAACGATTTAGCTCAATTCTGCCAAATGTGAAGGCGATAATTTCATTTTTACGGCCGAGAGAAAATTTACAACAGACATTAGACAGACGAACACGCGGACAGACGGACAAATGGATATACTAAAATTAATACAAAAATGTATATGATCTTTGCGGAGTCTCCAAAGCTTCCTTCTTGGTCTTGTAAATCTTTTCGCAAAATGAATATAAAACTCATCTTTTGGGTGAAGGGAATAAAGAAGTTTATAACCTTAAAAACGAGCCTTAACAATTCCTGTGCTTAACTTTGGTAAATTTATTATTTTTTTTTTATTATGTGTAGATATCGTAACAATCGACCAATGTTGAATGGAATCCCATTAGTTGTCTATTTTTATTTGATCCGCGGTGTCCGCGGTTTTAATAAATTCCTATAAAGCTATAAAAAAATTCATTTACTTAGAGAAAGCCATTGCTAAAAGTTCAATCAGTCATTCGTTGGAAAGCAATATGAAAGTCTATCATATATTTCTGTTAATTTACTTACGACAAGAAGTGAACGGTCAGAAATTGTGCCCTGTTGATCACTATGAAGTCAGTTTTCGTAGCCTTGAGGATAACATCACTATTGTAATAAAATGGGAAAAAGCAAAAGTTGGCACTACCAGTATCCTAAGAGACATTTGCTCAAATATTACTGGTTTACCTTTAGAACGTCATTGCTCGTACAATAGAGATACAGGCGAAGCGGAATGGTCACCATATAATAAAAATGAATCGGTTCTACACTGCTATCTTATCAGCTATCATTGCAAAAGTGACCCTTTTGAGCATGATTTTTTCATGAAGGGCAATGTGTTGAAGCCTTACGAAAATTATTGGAAAACATCATATAATCCCGGACTGATTGAGCTTCAGATACCCTGTTTGCAAGCAAATGGTTTACCTATAGCCAGAAGATGCTTATATAATCCTGCGAAGCATGTAATCGAATGGGAATCAATAGAACATTGGCCGAGAATTTCTTGCTACGAAAGCAGTTACAGTGTAATAAACCAGCAATTAGTGACTGATGAACTTAGTGGATGGCAGCGTGAATTTATCGGAAGTGAACAATTATACCCCAATGACAGTGTACGGTTTGTAAACGAATTTACTACAATTTTGGAAAGTCCACAACATGTGCTATTACCTGCCGATATAGAGTTAACAGGCAAATTTTTGCAATTTGTTGTTCAGAGCAACCCTGAGCCAAGTCTTATGAAAGCTATAATGGATCTGACAAATACTGTTATGTCAAGTGATTCAGCAGTTCTGTCACTATCGGCTGAAATGAATGCAACCAACACTTGCCTAAAAGCCTTTGAAGATTATGTGAATAAAACAGCGGCCTTGATCGCTAAGCAACGATGTGTGAATGAACCAAAAGTTCAAATTGAGATAACTGAAAACATCGGTGTATTTATTGTCAATCCAAAATGCACTAATATTTCGGGTTTGGCTATATACAGTTCGCATATAACACCGCGTTCGGCGCATTATCACTCTATGCATTTCGAGGGACTTTCAAATCTTTACTATCGATATCTTTACTTAAATCAGTCAGTTGGCGATTTACTGCAGGAGCAAAACCTTTTGTTAGCCAGTTTTGTGCCTGAAAAAATGTGGAACAAAATGTGTAATGAGTTATGGTCTCATGATGAGTATGGCATTGTTGCGATCAAAGTGTATAAAAATGATAAACTTTTTGTTGAAACAAGTCCCATAGTTGATCACAAGCCGAACGGTGCCATCCTATCCTTCACGATAACCAATTACACAGGCAACTATACAAAATTTACAGGATTACCATCTGTTCTTTAAAATAAATTTTCTTTTTTTTTTTTTAAATTTAGGTCTACTGGTGGAAGATTTGCCGATAATATTTTCGAAACGGAATTTACACAAATATTCTGATATTCATTTTGGTTGCGCTTACTGGAATTATACTACGTGGGATAGGAGAGGCGTCAGAGTTGTCGATAGCATCGATGGTCAATCGTTGCAAGATTACGTGCTTTGTTATAGTAATCATTTGACACCATTTTCATATTTGATGGGTGGTATCTTTGAACGACCGAACACTAAAAATGTTGTGCTGATTACCTTAAGGCATATAAAAGCTTTGGATATAATTTCTATGATCGGATGCTCAGCTTCGTTGATAGGATTACTTTGCATATGGTTCACTGCCCTATTAATTAAAAATTGGCGTTCTCTGAGTTCGAACAAAGTCTTGCTTCACTTATGTGCTGTACTTACGTTAATCATCTTGACATTTATAGCTATCAATCTGAATTGCGTAATTGAACAACTTATGGCCAACTCGACTTATTGCGTGATAATGGGAGCCTTTCTCCAATATATTATTCTCGTATTATTTGTTTGGATGCTTATCATTGCTATACTACAATATCAACGTTTCGTTATTGTGCTTGGTATAGTGCGTCCTAAGTACTATATAACCAAATCAGCTATAGTTGCCTGGAGTCTACCATTGATACCAACTTTGTATGTAGCATTAACTATACCTGAATCTTATGTACCTACCTACGAACAATGGATTAGAAATAGTGGCATTTGCTATCCTACCGGTCATGGTTTAAATTTTGGTGTAGTTTTACCCATATCTATAGTAGTTACTATAAATATTGGTGTAATTTTATATATATTTTATAGTTTATGTCGTGCACGTCTATCCACGCCTACGCAAATGCATCAAAAGAGCGGTCTTGTTAAGGAAATACGTCTTATGGTATTGTTATTTTTCCTTTTAGGCTTATCATGGATATTCGGTCTACTCGCTTATATGAATCTTACAATTGTATTTTCATATCTTTTCTGTATGACAGCGACATTACAAGGATTTATACTATTTTTATATTTTATAATCTTGGATAAGCATACACGTGACTCATGGATGAAAATGATGGATTCCTCTAAGCGGAAGGAGGGAAAAAGTAAATCAAAGACATCTAATCTACCCAACACTTCTTCACGTAGCCAATAGAAATTAATCTACCGATATATACCGTTGATTGTGTTTTGCGAAGTTTATAGCTGCATATGACAAAAGGTAGTAAGCAAAAACAAATTACATATAATATATACTAAGAAATTATAAAAATTCTCTAATAAATTCAATATTACAAATATTTAACACCAAAGACTAATTTTTTCGTTCTCCTAACTCATTATGTGTTTCGGACTTCTCCGGCGTATCCATTTTTTTTGCATTGTGCTCTCTTTCTAGTCTTGATATGAAGCTTCAGGTTCTGTAAGTAGCCTTATTTTGAGTTTGAAAAGTCCAGATTTTAAATAACCTGAATACATTCATACAAATTTTTACTAAGAAAGGAATTGAAGGAGGCACTGACTGATTGGCAACAAGATAAAAATAATAATCAGAAGAAGTAATATTTTATACTCACCACACAATTTTATTTTCGATATTGGTCGCACCAAGAAAAAAACGTCGAATCCAACCGAAAGCATAGATTGCCTGAGATATTTATCCTGAAATATGACACATACATGTATATTTACAATATGAATATTAATTAGATTGTTCTAGATAGTTATAATTAAATAAAATTTATATTTAATTGAGCTTTGTTTTTTGAAATCATCAATGACGAGAGAATCGACAGCCAACGTATTACAATTGTCTACTTATACCATTTGTGATACTATTACTACTGGATGCATAGGGGCTATGATAAGTCCTTCCAGACCTTTTATTATACCAATCAATTCAGAATAATTCTATAAATTAAACTAAGCTTGTCTGTCCGTCCGTCCGTCTAATGTTTGCATATTTAGTTTGTCCAACCCACAGTGGTTAACTTTCGTAACTCAAAATGAAATTGAAGAAAATGTTACATCTATATAAACGCACAGTGGTGAGCACCTTTTTGGGTTTCATACAACTAAAGTACGAATATACGCCGAAAGTGCTCTCGAACATTTTCATAAAATATGTTATATGCTTAATCTATTTAAATGCAACGGAATTGCAAATTAGAAAAATATATTCCCATTGCAATGCGAGGAGTGTGTGACGGAAACCCAATTCTCTTCAAAAGCTTTCCCTATTGAAAATGTTCTTTCTGCCAATTCATAACACTTTGCAGCTTTCAATAAGCTTTGCACTAAAACATGCATCGAGGTTTTCAACCCAAAATCTCTCTTAATTTCCTCTCTCAAATTAACAACCATGCACACTACATCCTCTATAGCGACAATAAGAAATTGTATGAGAAAAGAAAAACATCGAAAAGAAAGAAAAGAATAACAAAAAAAAAAGAAAAAAAAAGGAAAAAAATGAAAACAGCTGAGTATCCTGTAAAGCGCCATCCGTTTATATATAATTGCGTTGCCTGCAAAAATGTGTTAGTCTTTAACGACTCTTTAAAGCGGACGGTTCTAAACGATAGAAAGGAAACGGAAAAAGTGTCGAAACAAAAAAAAAAGAAAATTCCTAACAATTCTCTGTTAAAGTAAATGTAAAATATTTTCTTCATTTACATGCATAGATATATATATATATACGCAAGCACACATCTATACATATACATATATATATATATATATATCCATGTAAATTAAAGCGTTTTATTGTTGGTGTGTGCATGTGGTATAAAAAAAAAAATATTAAATATCTAAATATTTTTTAGAAAGATTTAAATATTTTTGGAAAAATTATAAAAGTTTAAAAAAAAATGCAATCGAAAATTTTAAAGCTTGTTAGCTTGATAGCATCAGTTTCATATAAGATGCAGTGCATAGTATTTCTGCGTGAATGATTTTACGTACCAGTGCATATATATATTTATATATACAAGCGCATATACTGCACACCGTTTTACTATCGTCTCATTATACGTAATGCACAAACAACACTCTATATATGCGCGAAAGATGTTTTTCTCTAAACATGTATATATATTATTGAAATGTGTAACGTATTAACAGCAATTTTGTTAGTCAAGTCTCTAACGAATTAATAGCGTATGAAATGAATAATTGATCTCTTTTATGTATCTAGTCATAATAAATTTGTAAAAATTTATACGGTTTTCTTTTCTTTTTTTTTTGTTTTTTCTTTATGTTTTTTTTTTTTTTGTTTGCCAGAATTTGTGTATATGTGTGCTTGTGTTTGTATCTGGCTACATATGCGTGCCTATGCATTTGCACTTTTTATTCCGGTTCCTTTTGCTTTCTAGCTAAAAAAAAAATTATTCAATGGCATTCATGAACTTTTGTGATATGAATGCGGAAAATTAATTTCATTACATATAACAGCATATGTGTGTGTGCATACGTTTCACAATTTCTAAAGTAAATGAAATTTTTAACAAAAACAAAAAAAAAAACTATTTTTGAAATCAATTTGATTTGTTAGAAAAATTAATTTCAAAATTTAATTTTAAATTTAAACTTAATGCGTATAAAAATCATCAAAATTATCGTTGAAAATTAAAAGAAAACATTTTCATTGGCTAATTATTTCATTCTTTGAAAATCGAAAATTGGAAAAGAAAATTTTTATAATAAACAGAAAGCCGTTTCTGATCCGTTTCCGCGCCACTTATGGCGCCTTAATTTACTTTGACTCCTCTTCTCCTCCTTTACTCACCTTTGACATTTGAACTTTTCAAGAGTACGGGGGAGCATTTCAATCGCTTTTGCAAACAATCCAGATTTCTGATAAATGCTCGCGTAGCATGAGCGCAACTTTATGGCCGCAATGCGAACACTTGAATATTTAGTAAAATGTTCTTGTGCCGATATTTTTACATTAATTAACCTTTATGTGCAAGTAAGGAGCAGAAGTGTAAGAATTGAAGAACACAAGAATGATCCGAATTTTTTGTGCGAGGATTTGTTGTGCAGTTTATATCGCACACAAGCTTGTGTTAGCATTACGGATGCAGCACAAGCTCTAACTCTATGTTAAATTTCCACGTCTTATCGAACTTGTGTGATTTTTAACTCTAGAACCGTAGAAGTACGAGCAGACATAGAAAAAAAAGAAAATTTTTCATATTTAAGGCATCGTAGACCTAAAGTAGTTGTTGAATGCGTTTGTGAAATTTTGTAGTCAGCAACGAAGTATGGAAATGTATTACATCAATCTCTCCGTTTTTAATAATAACAAAGAAATACATGGAATGTATTTATGAGTTATCTGGAAATCGACTTCAACGTGCCGTATATTCAACCATGTTTCCAAGTCCGGCACGAGCCGATGTAATCGTCTGCCTTTGTTCGCCCTACATCAGTAACTCTGCTCTCAACTTCCTTAGATCGCAGACATCATTGGCATCATGCCAGCGGTGCTTAATGCGCCGTTTTTTGACACCGGGCGATACGCGGCGCAAACAAGCATATGTGTATATACTTGTTCAAATTTCGCCATTCATCAGATTGGAGTCTTAACGATGCTTAATGCTCTCTATCTGTAACCGTACATTTCTTGTCCCCGAATAACGTTGGCGATTAGGGTGTTGTCTTCTCCCAACTTTTTCCGGAATATGTCGCTTAAGAAACTGACGCTTTTCCTTCAACTTTCGGTATCTCCTCCCATAACTGTTCCCGTGCGTGCGTGCGTATGTCTGCCTAGGTACGTATGCGTGTACATATGTATGAATATATGTATGAATGTACGCATGTAAGATTTACTCTAACATAGAAGAAATGTATTTTGAAAGTAAAAACAATTAAATTTATTCCAGTTTACTGATATTTCTATACTCAAACGAAAAAAAAAAAAAAATTAAAATAAAGAAAAAGTAAAAGTAACCCATGTAACTTTCATAATAAATGATTCTCATATATGTTTTAAAAAGCAGTTCATTTTATCGATTTATTATATATTATCTTAATCTGCGCCGATATAATTAAATCGACTTTAAATTGAGTTTAAAACATTTTTTATAGCCGAAAAAAAAAAATGGTTATTTGTATATGTGTGTGTGTGTAGTTTGCATTAAAATTTGTTCAATTATTATTATTTTTTTTTTGTTTAAACCGTAAGTGAAAATACATGAAATTCGTTTTCAAATAAACTAAGTTCGCACAATGAAAAACTTGTACAAAATAAACAAACGAACAACTTATACATATATGTATATATGTATTTAAGTGAAACGAAAATATTTGTTAGCAAAAGTTAATTTATTGCATTTGGTTTTGTGTGCTTTTTTTTTTTGGGCGAAAATACTACAACACAGCGCAACTGTGTCTGCAAAATTAAATATGATTGACATACGAGTGAAAAAACAATGCATGAAAATTTTTAGTTTTTCATCATTATTAACATAGTTATGAGCGGATAATGTTCAAATTGATGGAACACTATTTTGCATCGAATAGACAAAAGTGTTTGTCATATTTTGTAACTCAATATAGTTTTACTTAGTTGTGGACCAGCATATGACAATTTCAAGCTGATCAAACATACAAACGTAGGCGTAGAGATTGTAAAGCTTTCGATTTATTATTCTTTTTATTACAAAGGGGCTAAAAAAAATTGAATTAGCTTTTTTCCAATGTTGGCGATTTGAAATGGACTGACGCGAAAACAAATCCCGTTGGGATATATCTATAATATCTTCATACGAGAGCATTTTGTTTTATATAATTTTCGCTTTCATTTGCATGGAATGTGAGATTTTTATGAAATATTAACTATTTTTCAAAATTAACTAAAAATGCTACTTGAAATCCTCAAAGACTATACTGAAATGCATGAGAAAAATTGTTTTCAAGTTTAAGGCTTAAGTGAATTCAAAAATTTCTCTGCTGCTTTCGTCCTAACTCAATATATCTCTGTAAGGCAAACTCAATATAAAAAAACCGACAGGAACATGAGACCTCAGAAATGGAATTATGCCACTCGGAATGGTTTCCTTACATACATGTTCACACAATTTTATTGGTTAATTTATTTCAGAGAAAAATAAAAAATAAAAAAAAAAATACCCCCAAAAGAAATTTATTTCTACACCATTTTTAAATCATTTAGATTTGACAGAAAGTTAGTTTGCTAAAATCATTTATGTGTGTAAAGCCATTGCATCACTTGATATGCAAAAATTCAATAAGTAGATACTCCGATTAATATTCAAAAGAAATGAAACGAGTCGGTTGCTTAAGCAAATTTATCTTTGCGTTATGAAGTGTATGCGAAACATGAGTCACCGAGAAACACCGAGAAAGGGGAAAGGACACCAGCTCTTCGAATGCGAAGAAATACTTGCTTTTAATTAATATACTTAGAATGCATTGTACGCACTTCAATTATCTTTGACGAGTAAAATATTTGAAATCGTTAACATTGCATGCAAAAATTTCTTTATTCGTCCACAAATTGAATTATGTCAAGTCAATGTTTTTTACAATGTTTTAAGAAAATAGTTAAAGTTAATCTCAAAGTGCTTGTGGTTATTCGAAAAACTTGATGTTTATGTGGTACTAGTGGCTTAACGATAACAAAAAAATAACTAAAGAAAAGTTATTCATTGTCAAATTCGTTTGTCGTACCATCCATCTACTCTTAAATGTTTTTTGTGTGGAAAACTTCTTTGTTTTCGTTTTATTTCTACTATTCTTTAAAGACATAAGTAGTATTAGATTTTTGAATAGTGGTGTGAGCGTTATTAGCAAAATTTAAACAACTATTTAGTGTAAAAATTATTTAGAAAGTAAAAGAAATTTCTCTATAAGCATTTATTTTTGCACAGCAATCTATTAAACGGCGACTACTTTCCCAGAATTTCCCAGAGTTTCGGTTGAGTTCATCGACTTCACTCACGCATTTTTCAGCGATGTTACATATTGCTCTGATATTTTTGCTAGCTCTCTCTAATATGCTGGATTTTAATTTTTGTTTACCGCCAATTGCATCTTACACTTTTAATTTATGACAGTGACGGATTAAGTATCGAAAATCCATTATCAATGGCTCTTAGATTATATATATGCTTTTTCTTTTCAACCAGATTTTTGTAATAATATTAATCGTTGGTAATACTAATCTTTCTTTATGCCCAGCATTAGCTCCTTAATTAATTTGAAAGAAGAGCATAACGTTTGATCCCCATAAAAAGAAAGCCTTATTGGAATAAATGAAATATGTATGAATGGCCCAGTAGGCAAAAGATCTCAACTAGCAAGTTAGTAGGTCAATGGGTTGAAAGCTCAAGTGCGGTGCAATAAAGCCCACAGCCTTAGATATCAGTCCTTTAAGACCTTAATTGTTGCATATATTTCTTTGGCTAAGATGATTACAATAACAGTAATAATAATAATTTTAAATTATAAAACGCCGATATAGGTGTTGGTGTAAGAAATACGATGTCAAACCGTATTCGATATACGAGTTGATAGGAGCAAAAATCTACTTCTTTCTTTCCTTTAAGTTGCATTCGGTAAAGCTAGGATAAACACAAGAGCACAATAGTTAAGGATAAAGATATATGTGGTCAGATAAATGAAGCGGTAGAGATTCCAAATCTCACACTCATGCGAGTTTTTATTACTCGTTCTGTGTTGTGCTCTCTAGACAACTATACTATAAATAGCTTTGAGGTTTTTGCAGGATTCGTCGTGAAACAAATGTAAACTTCTTAACAAAATATGTTTAGCTTTCTTTCATAGTAAGTGCAGAAATTTTCCCCTCTTTGCGGTGAAGCCCGCACGTCTTTTGTTTGTATGTGACGAAAGGAACCCTTTGAGCTTTACAATCACAAATATCTGTCGAAGATCTAATTCATTACTCAAAACACAAAAAAAAATTCGAATCTTACATTCGTGTATTGTATATGTCAGATGTTAGTTTGATTGTATCTTATTTACTGTGTATGTATGTGTGTGTGTGTGTGTGTTTTTTTTTTTTTCTCAAAAAGACTATGTTCCATAAGTCAAAGATTTCTAACGCAAAACTCATTAATCATTTTTAATTAGGGTAATCAGCAGAATCGATTTCTCCATGTACGTTCCTGTACTTACACCTTGTATGTGTAATGCAATCACGATTGCTTCCTTCAACACTTTCAACATGATCACACAATCAATCTTTTAACACTGACATGATTAGAAATTCTCTCCAAATTCACTCTAATCTGAAAATTAGATGTCTATCATCCATGTTTGGTTATACGTTATTACGTCTTTCCTTCAAATAATTTCGTTTCTCTATGTGAGTTAATTTGCTTCGACTACATTTGGGAATTCCGTTTTTTTCCCCTTTCCTTTGCTCGAAATGTAAATATTAAATGTGTGGTTATGTGTTTTTAGTTTGTTGTATTATTGGTTGCGGTTTATAAAAGCAAAATTTTTTTTTTATATCGGAGCTATAGGTGGTGGTGTTTTTTTTTACGCGATACATCGTCAAAAAATAAAAATAATATTGAAGCGTCGAAGCTATGAGAGATGTCGATCCAAGTCACGATTGAAATGTTTCTCAAAGGTAAGGCAACAACTGTGTTTCAATCCGCTCATGTTCAATAATATTTTACGCGATTACGAGGATGGATGTTAAAGATTCTCCCTAAAGTGAACATAATTTTTGTACTTGCTATATGCGTCACTTACAGAGGTTGCAAATATATTCGTTTTATTTCCGCGATCGCAAAATTGCTACAAGCATTGAAAATTCTTGCATCTGGGTTAGTGGGTTGAAAATAAATGAAATAAATGAAAAGGCTAAGCCCACAGTATAATTTAGGCAGATAGTATTTCATCTCTTTTCTGAAAGGCAAAACAAAAAACAAGGTTTTTGCTAATTATCCACGAAAAGTTAACGTGTCCTCTATGGTGATACCGTGTCATCTGCGTAAAAGCTGAAATAATCGACCCCGCTTACCCAACTTTATAGAGAAAGGAAATTTAATTTTTTCGCTTTCTGTTCTTAACTTTTCTTCTTATAATTTACACCATTTGTGATGCAACGAGAAGGGTTTCAAATAGCCTCACTTCGTTTGTCTGTCTGTTCGCCAGTGTTCTGTGTACAGATTACAAATGCGGAGATATTTTTGATAAAGTTTAGTACGTCAAAGGGTTTTGGGATGAGCGCTATTGAAAATGGTTCGGATCGCTTTGGTTTTCAAGGGTCTTTATATGATATATGTGTAGGGTATTTAACGGCAGGCTTTGGCTCACTATGAAGTTTCCATCTATTTTTTTTAAAGACGATATTGGCAGGTGTAAAAAATTCAATCTCAACTGAATATAATTTTCTTCCTTATTTTTTAGTTTTATTCAATTTATTAATAAACATTCATTTATTTTTTAATTATTAATGAGAATCGTTTTGGTTTTTTTTTTTTTTTTTTTTTTTTTTTGTAAATTATATAATATTCTGAATTAAAGTTAAGATAGCAAAGAGATGATACGCACGCACTCAAAAAGGTCCTTCTGCGAGATTAACTTTAATTTGCGGAATAGAAAATGCAAAACAAATCTTGTAATAATTACGGCAAAACCAACATGAAATATTAACGTTAACGTACGCATACGCACACAATCTCATCTATAAGACTTGTTGATAAAAAAATATTGCAATAACTGCACACACGCAAAGTATAAACACTTGTACATGTACGCTATATCTAATGTAGCAGCCTACGTGAGTATATGTTGAACATGTAATTAGTCGTTCGCAGTATCAGGCATGAGTGTGCATGAGTGTACATGAGTATGCGTGGATGTGTGCGATTATATGTTACATATGCACTTACATTTGTTTATTATTAGTGACATGGAACTTGGACAAGTAGTTGTTTAGTTATGTAGAATCTCTCTCACACGTACACGCATACATACGTAAATTGTAATTTTAGAATTTACTGGATACCGTTAAAAAAGTATTAGAGCAGGCAAACCGGTAAGTTAACGAATTAATACAGAGGCGGCCATATAATGAAAGTGATTTAACGATTTAAATGAAATTTTTTTTTTTTTTTTTTTTCTTTCTTTCTTCCTTTAAACAAAATTGTAAACACGCTAAAGTGCGGGTATGCAAAGCATTTGCGCACTTATATCCGTTTTTAACTCAATTTATATGAATGTAAAAAAGAAAAGTAATTGTTATGTACGGTGTGGTGTATACATTACAAATAATTTCATTCATAATAATTAAAAGAGAAAAATCAAAAAGAAATAATGTGCTTGCGTTTTTTTTTTTTTTTTTTGTTTTTTTCAAAGGGGTTTTTTCAACGCAAACTGTGCTTTTCATTTCACAACCTACTGCACAACAATTAAAAATAGAGGCCAACAAGGCAAAGGTTGTTTTTAAATAATTTCATTTCATATAAGCAGTAATAACAGAATATGATATGATCGTAAAATGTATAAAGTCTAATTTAGATAATCGAGTGCCAGCGCAACAAATCAGTGCAATAAAAGTTGAAAACATCACTAAAAGCGTCTGTGTTAACTTTTAAAAAATCGCTACTAATTTTCATATCGTACATTTCAACTTTAACTATTACTGTTACAAAGCTAACTAAGCTAACTTCTCTATCGGCATCAAAATGGTAAGTAAACACCAGCAGCTTAGATCGCAATAAAGTTTAAGAGTAAGAATAAAAAAAATAAAAATAAATAAAAAGTCAACATAAAAATGATTAAAAACAAATTACAAAAATAAAATTAATATTCATATGCTATATAGTTAAGGATTTCATTGTCTGCCTTAGAAGCCATCAAAGTTTCTCTTACCGCCCCTATGGCTGGGAAGCATTCTGATTATGATTACTTTTGAGAGAGTCACATCACTTCAGAGATCAGAGCATCATTCAGTAATTGTTAGTTAGTATGGTTTGTTTATTTGCTTTTCCTATGAGCTATGAAAAACTGTACATTTTAAAGAAACAATGCCTTCCATCGTTACATTGCACATTCTCGAATGTTGAGGAGTTGGCTTGTGCTGCTTTGATCCAATGTTCGATTTATGAAATAATAATCGATGAGATATGAGACATATTCTCAACAAAATTGCTAACCGACAATAATTTGAACTTGAATTAAAGAACTTCACACACGAAACCATAGATGGTTTTTGACTAAGAGGCAAAATTTCTTACTGGATTACGCAAGACATGTAATTATCATCATACCTTCATTGGTCGCAGTCTGTGTAGTAATCCTGGAATAATGTTAAATGCATTAATTATAAACAACAGCTCTCGAAAACATTTCGACAACAAAACACATAAATTTTATGTTGACAGGATTGCCACATAGTTGCCACAAAAAGTGCAGAGAGGCATTAAACGAAATAAGTATGTGTTAGTTTTTTTGACAACAGTCAGTGCTGTTTGAATTTTGACCTCGAAATTTTTAATAGCCTTTTACAGAAACTTTTATTTTTATCAACAACTTGCATACGATAGCAGATACAGATATCGATCGAAGTCCTTGCAGAAGTTTTAGTCAATATTGAGCATATATGTCTTTATAAAAAAAAAGCAATAATTGGCGCGCATCTTTACATTTTTATGAACAGCTGGCACGGTTTCAATTACCGAGCATTTTTCTAGTATGCTGGGACATAGTTATTTGTACTTCTCTATCAAAGAATATCGATGCCCGAGTTTATGTTTCTATTTGTAATATCTCGAAGCCATTTGTCCTGTCATCAAGTTTACCCGAACGAGCTTTAGAGTGCAGACTTGTACCCACAGTAGACAGATAGACAGATGGGATGGGATTTATATCTTATCACAGATAGTAATAAGAAGTGTAGCTTCAAAAGTCTTGGACGCGTTTCTTTAATAGTTCGATAGGAAACTCATTGATTCTTAGTAGCCAACTATTAGGCATAAAATTAGCCAAAGTATTTTATATTTTATATATATGCTTGAAACGTGTTAAAATGGGTGTTAGGTATTCTTCTCAAGATATCAAACGTCTTCCGCCTTTCCTTTATTCAAGTTTTATTAATTTTTTTATAACATTTAGAGATAGGCTTAGTAGGCCTTCGAAGGATCTCTTTGTTATTATTTTAGCAAGCTTAAGATTCGAAATAAATTTGCCATATCCAAATATTGACCTACGTATTATTACGCGTTGCTTATTGAAACCCTGAAATGGGCAAAAGTTGAAAAGGCGATCGCTCGCTCGCTATGCACAGCATCCATATGTTTCCCAACCCTAAAGAAGTTAAAATTTAAAATATTCCCCTTTGTCTCGCTCTTTAATATTATTTAAAGCATTTACTACAAGTAAAATGTGAAATAAGAAAACTTCGCGACTACTTTACGCTTTGAAAAGAAACACGCAAAAAGAATTCTTTAAATCAAAAAAAAAAAAAAGGAAAAAACAAACAAAATTGTAAACAAATTTAAGTGACCGTCTCCTTCTTACTCTTTCTTTGTGTACTCAGACTGTTTGCTATTTTATATTATTATAGTAACCATAACTACTCAATTCATTTCTTTTCATCTCCTTATAGTACGGCTTCGTTAATTATGCTTTGGAGCTGTTGGTACTTAAGCATTTTGGCGAAGAAATATGGGAGAAAATCAAGTAAGTTACCTTATGAAAATTCATTTTCAAATGCATTGAATGCATAGTGATAGATAGGTAAGAGAAAATAAGTTTTATTTTTCTTTACTAATTAGCAAACACTTATGTTTATTTTATAACGAAGAAGATATAAAATGAAATAATTGTTATTATTATTGAGTAGAGATTGACTTGAACAAGTAAAAGTTTATTCATAATCCAGAAACTATATATAATCTCAAGCAGTATTAATGTAACTAAGAAGGAAAAGCATCTAAAGAATATTTAATAAGAAATCTTAGCTTGATATTAAACAAAATGTTATCCTTTTACTCATAATTATATTCAATGCCTGTCACAAACAGGAATTTTATAATTAATGCTGAAGCTTTAACTAACTAAAAGCTAATTATTGGTTATAACAATATTTCCCCGGTGAGTTCATGTTTATGTAACCGTGAACGTTAGTTGTTTTTGTAGAGAGATTGTTGTGATTACCATTAATTAATGGTTACCACTCTCTCTCTCTATCTTCGATCTTTTTGCTTTATTTTAAGAAAAGTTATTCGTAAGCTTACGTTAGTCAGTTAGTCAGTTAGTTGTTTAATACTTTTAATTATTTTTATGCAAATCACTGGAGAGTGTCTTTTGTCTTTGACAAAAGTGATGTGAATTAATTAATAGTAAATTTAGTGCTTCTTTCAAAACAAAAAAAAACAAAAAAAAAAAAACTTAAACATTTGACTCATTCACGTCTAATCACGATTATTATGGTTCACTAATCACTAATATACGATTATGATTGAAAAGAGAAAATATTTTTAAAACACATAACGAATTTCTGATTATATACGTTATGTGCATTCAACTAAATTTAATTTAAATTTTCTTCAACATCGATTATTTCATATAAAAGGAACAAATATTTTTATGCGCTAAAATATAGTATAACGGAATGAAAATCTAACGTTGCATCTTATAACATAATATACGTTTAGTTGTATATAAAATGATGGTAATAAAAAATTCTGACATTTGCACGTTTCGCATCGAGCAAAGTGAAAGCAGCCGCAATAAATAATTTAAAACCGGCAACAGCAACCTTGACAGAGATTCTCTATGGTTGAAAATGATCACAACACTAACACAAAAGCTTTAATTTTTTTTTATCAACTTCATCAGGAGATAGGTGTTAAGCAGAATTTAGGAAAAAGTCTCCTTTTTAGCAGAATAAAAATAAAGAAAACAAAGCAATTGAAAAAATTCAAGAGAAATTCCAGACTGCGTACTACAGCACTAACGAAAATTGTTTCAGAGAGAATGAAATATAACAGCATGACGCTCTTAGAACATATGACAAGGATTTTAAAATCCTAAAAGGAAATTCTTCTATTATTATCATTCGAATTAGTTGAATCGAAATGTATATCATTTTTCGGACATAGAATTTCCTACTATTTCCCCTTTTTCCTACTGCACCTAAAAATATTGCAAATTATTTAAAGAGAAAGGTGTATCTTATTTCGGACAATTTCTTTTTACATTATGGAAAATCGAAATGTATATCATTCTTTCGGACATGGAAATTCCTAGCTAAAAAACTTCTTATATTACTTTCTTTTAAAAAGACAAAAAAAAGTAAAATCGGGTAAAATAATGAATGAATTAAATGGAAAAGTACATCATATTTTCGGACAGGACGTTAACATATAAACAACGTCTTCATAGATGGGATGCGAAATTTTCTAGCCGTCTGTAATTAACTAGTAGTTCACTTTTATTTTGCTTTCTGTTTCTCTGTTCCTGACACCAGCGAATAACTTTGTACATGTTCTTGGACAATGTGGGTAAATTTTCAATGTTCAACCTATAGTTTAAACATAACTCTTAATTTATTGCAACTATTTTCATTCTTCTACCTGTGTTGTTGCTGTAGACCTTTCTGTTGTAACATATACACATATATATATATATACAAATTTATACTTAACATTAAATACATATATATAAACACATTTATGGAATGTATACACTGCACTATTATGCACATTTTTTATAATCAAAAAACTTAGTCTAGGGAGAGAAACGCCATTTAACGTTGTGTTCTTTCTCTCACTTATTATTTTATGATATTAAAATTCTTGCTTACTGTAATCATTACATAATTTTTTTTTTTTTTTTCCATTTTAATTTAACATGCCTGTCGCATAAAAATATTCTTAATAGGTTTGATGACTGCCGGCAAAGGAAGTCCGTTGATTCATATTATGGTATACATGTCCATATAACAACTTTTACAATAATTATACATTTTTTTATTTTTATTTATATTATTTAGTATTCTTAGCTAAATAATTAAAACGTTATATGAAAAACCTCTCCAAAGGTCAAATCTAATGTTTATATACATACTCGTCCACTCCTTTAAGCTAAGCATCAGTAAGCATGTATACGTAAATCCACTATGTTACATGTCGAATATCAATTCGATTCATGTTTAGAAAGTTTTTCTAAAAAGAAAAACTCTTAATCAGGGATCAATGCGACTGATCCCGTATTTTTTTTTTATTTTTTTATTTTTTTTGTCCCAATCCATCTACAAAATAACATTTGAAATGATTTTTCTTTGTTTTTATACGCGTCACCGACGGAAAGATGTATATCTGAATCGATATAAACATGTCCGTTAATGTACTGTCTACGCTAAACATTTTTCTGCTCGCAAAAACGAAGTTCTTGCACGCAAATTGGTAATGAAAATGGAGCAAATCAGTGAAAGGACACGCCAACAGTATTACGTAAGCTGAGAATACCTCTGTTTTTCAAAAGCAATAAAAATTTGTTTTTTTTTTTTTTTTTTTGCTCATTACTTTTATTGCAAATTATTATAACTAAATTTTATAATGATATTAATCGATTGCAATTAAATCCTTTCTCATTTCGCAAAATATAAAAGATTTTTTTGTTTATCCAACGTAAAATATGTCAGACAAGAATAAACTTGAGAGCATAATTTGTTTTTTAAAACTCATGCGGCATATTAATGAAAACATGTAAGAAAAGTATATTCGGTCGTAATCGACACTTCTATACGCATCACCGACTAAAGTGAGGAAAAGAGTTGAGTTTTCACACTCTGTGGGCTTTGTAGGCATGTCATATGTAGCATAAACTTAGTTCGCGTTTAAATTCTTTTGTAAATTTGTAAGCGACTTCTTCATTTTCGCTTATGGCAAATGTTTAGCGCAAATGCTATACAGTTGCGCAGACAGAGGGATGGACAAAAGAACAGATGGACAGACTTATGTGCATTCCAAATTTGAAATTGTCCATAAATTTAAAAATTTTATGGGGTTTCTGAAACTTGCCCATGCGCCTTATAATGCTATTGAAAATGTGCTATAAGATCGCCCATATCATGTAAGTTCAAACTTTTGTAAATTTATTTATTTTAGTTTATGAGTAATGGGCAAAAAACCATTTTTTTTTATTTTGAAAAACGATGGTGTTCTCAGTTCACGTGGTACTAGTGGTAAGAGTATTTGTCGATCAATTTGGACCAATTTCAATATCGAGCTGCGTGCAAGAATTTCCATTGGTTTTGCCAAATTTGAAGTGGGTAGTTTCCTTTTTGTCACCGTGAGAATGTTTAGAATACACATTATAAAGATGGAAAGACACACAGATGGACAGATGGACATGCTTTAACCGACTTACAATTTGGCGCTGATCAAGAATATATATATATATATATATATATATATATGTGTGTTTAAAATATATAAATATATAAAACTTACTTCCAGGCGTTGCAAACATACTGATCAAATGAACATACTCCTTCCTCATCCTTCGGTCATGGATGAAAAAACTATGTATTTCTACTTTATTACTAAACCGTTATATACAACCACATAATATAGTGTAAAACGCACATCCATACGGTTATCTTAATTATCTTTCATTTATTTTACCGGAGGAATATATGCTAAAACCTACTACGGTATACGTAAATAAATATATAGCACAAATGAAATATTGATCTTCCGCCTTTTTTCGCATGATTTGTGTGCTTCGGGCCTGAAGCTATGTGTGTGCGGCTTTGTTTTTTTTTTTTTTTTTTTATATTTTTCTCCTTTCGTACGCATTTGTTTATAAGAGATGAACACATAAATAACTGATTGATAACGAATGTGTCAATAAATGAACAATAAACCACAAAATTAATCTCGCCCACATTATTATATTGAAATAATAACAACAACAATTCCTACGACAGTGTTGTTGATTTATTATTAGAATTACATATGATGTAGAGAAGCAAAACAAAAAAAAAACAAAAAAAACAAAAAAAAAAAAAGGACAACATATTATACCGACTGTCCAAAGATGAAAGTAAATTGATTCAATTAGTCTCAGGATTTTCATTGAGGAAATTTACTTTAATCCTATTAAAGTTCATTAGTAAAAAGCATTCAATTGATAGATGAAAAGGACAAAGGCTCTTGAACTGTAACGACAATAAGTAATTAAATAATCATATTATTCATTAGTAATTATAAATATTTGAAATTTACAAAATTTATCTACACATAATTAAAAAAAAATAATATTAATAAATTAAAATTAATTTTTAACTAATGCCATATATTTGGCTTTCATTCTCTAAACAAGTGTCATTTTAAATAAGCACAAAGAAAGAGAAGAGAAAGTTGATCTTGAAGTTTTATATTAAACAGCTTTAATCCTCGCGAAAGGATTAACAACTATTGTGAATGGTGTTCTGACAATTTTTTTTTTTGTTGCCCTATTAAAACTGTTTTTCCCGAATTGGATATAAGAATCGAATGTAAGACGGTTAGGTTAGGAGAATTTTTAATTGTCTCGCTATTAGCTTTCCATCCAGACCAGCGGTCCATAAATCAACGTTTGTCAAGGTTACATGAGAAGAATATATCAGAAACATATTAAGAGATTTTTGTCACAAGACAATTCTTGATGTCGGATAACGACACTTGTAT